ACATTATCAAAAATGGGAGGCTCAGTCTTCTTCCTAGGGTGCTGATTGTCATTTAAGAATATCTTAATCCCCACTCCCCCCCCCCCCCCCCAAGTCTGTTTATCGTATCTTGTGTTAAGAGAATAATGACAAAATCCGCCACTCGACTGCCTGTCAGGTTTCCTATTTATTGACGGCCTCTGTTGATTTTTTTTTTCTGGTCTTTCTCTCCGCGATCGTTGATGACGCGGCTTGGCGTCTTTCACCCACCCCGCCCCTTTCTCTTCTCCCTTGATGCTGACGTTAGTGTGACGTCAACATGACCACAGACCAAAGAAATAATTGATAGCAGGGGGGATAATACCGTGGACCGCAGGAGACGTAGCCGATCAAGTGAGGTGGTGGGGATGACGTGATACTTTACTGGAACTGAAATGTGTGTGTGTGTGGGGGGGGGGGGGGGGGTCTATAAATGATGTCATACGCAGTAGGGAGAAACGTAATCTGACTTAAGTGAACATCAGCCTAGTAGGTTCTGTGTGTGTGTGGGGGGGGGGGGGGGGGGGAATGAGTGTAACGATAAAGACTTCATTTCGTGGGGGGGGGGGGGGGGGGGGTTGGGAGTGGTTTGTTTGTTTCGGGTCCCTGAGTAGCTAGAGAGTAGATCTTGCTTATATAGATCATGCTTATATATATATATATATATATATATATATATATATATATATATATATATATATATATATATGTGTGTGTGTGTGTGTGTTATGTGTTAAGAAGATTGCTCTGTGAATGAAAAGTGCTTGTACTATAGATAAATTCACATGCTACAGATATGCAACAGTAATTCCTTTTATTCTTCCAGTCCCCCCCCCCCCTATCCCTTTCCCCCCCCCCCCCCCCCCAGTGGCCAGAGACTGAGTAGCAGAGCAGCAATAGACATTGTGTCAGGAATGTCAGAGCAGAGTTATGCCCCATTCTATGCATCACGCTAGAACACAATGGCCTTTGTGAAGCAGAACAAGCTTTAAACATTAGGTAGATTACTTTTTTATCACACAGGAGAACAACAAAATATCAACTGGTTGTAAAAAATAATTAAAATTTCTACACTTCTTTTTAAAATATAAAAAAAAAACATGTTTAAATGATGGCAAAACATTATTGTGAAAGTGTAGGGGAACTGTTACAGTAGCGACACAGAATATTTAACATCTGAGACCTTAACAAAGTCTGATTTGTAGTTTGGCAGTCAGCCAATATTTGCCAGACACCAGACAAAGATGTCTTAACTGTCAATGACATCTGACATTAAGACATGTCCACAGGCTAGGTCCCGAGGGTAGAGGCATATTGTTACTGTGATGTAGGAAAATATAGAGTTCACATAATAATAATATTGTATGCTAAAGATCTCTACCATTGGTCATTATGTTATTCTAACCTGCTAGATGGTTCTCACCATTATAATATCAAATTATATGAATTATGATTTCTTATGACTGTTGTAATGGATCTTGAAACATCACATTACTACAAAATATGACCTTATGGCTGTTGTGATGGATCTTGAAATAGCACGTTACTACAAAATATGACCTTATGGCTGTTGTGATGGATCTTGAAACATCACATTACTACAAAATATGACCTTATGGCTGTTGTGATGGATCTTGAAATAGCACGTTACTACAAAATATGACCTTATGGCTGTTGTGATGGATCTTGAAACATCACATTACTACAAAATATGACCTTATGGCTGTTGTGATGGATCTTGAAATAGCACGTTACTACAAAATATGACCTTATGGCTGTTGTGATGGATCTTGAAACATCACATTACTACAAAATATGACCTTATGGCTGTTGTGATGGATCTTGAAATAGCACGTTACTACAAAATATGACCTTATGACTGTTGTAATGGATCTTGAAACATCACATTACTACAAAATATGGCCTTATGACTGTTGTGATGGATCTTGAAATAGCACATTACTACAAAATATGACCTTATGACTGTTGTAATGGATCTTGAAACATCACATTACTACAAAATATGACCTTATGACTGTTGTGATGGATCTTGAAACAGTACATTACTACAAAATATGGCCTTATGACTGTTGTGATGGATCTTGAAATAGCACATTACTACAAAATATGACCTTATGACTGTTGTGATGGATCTTGAAACATCACATTACTACAAAATATGACCTTATGACTGTTGTGATGGATCTTGAAATAGCACATTACTACAAAATATGACCTTATGACTGTTGTAATGGATCTTGAAACATCACATTACTACAAAATATGACCTTAAGACTGTTGTGATGGATCTTGAAACAGTACATTACTACAAAATATGACCTTATGACTGTTGTAATGGATCTTGAAACATCACATTACTACAAAATATGGCCTTATGACTGTTGTGATGGATCTTGAAATAGCACATTACTACAAAATATGACCTTATGACTGTTGTAATGGATCTTGAAACATCACATTACTACAAAATATGACCTTAAGACTGTTGTGATGGATCTTGAAACAGTACATTACTACAAAATATTACCTTAAGACTGTTGTGATGGATCCTTAAACAGTACATCTAATATGTAAAGCTCAGTTCTGTATGTAACGCATATGTTTGTCGTTGGTCTTGGATGGATTTAAGTGTTAGATAATTAAAGTTCTTACGGTCTACATTTATGAGTTTAAAAATTAATATTGAAAGTTTTGGGAAATAATTTTCATTTATCAAACTGAAAGTAAAAATTGTCGGCATGTTTATTAAACACAAATTTTTAAAAAATATCATCTTTTACAACAATTCTAATTATGTCTTTATTTAGTCCTATAGCACTTACTTCCCTTTGATAAATTAGGAAAACACAATTACTTCCCTTTATAAAACCATTGCATTTATGGAAAAGAATTTACTTTTTAATTACTTTATTTTGGTGTTGGGAAAAAAATAATTACATAATTAGCGGGGATTGATCAAGTGCAAATGTTGTAGGTATTTTACAGATAAGCTTGGAGTATTATAATTGTTCATTAAATTGAAACAGGCGCGTTCGTTTAAGTGAGTGCAAAAGACTATGAATAAGTTGGGGTACTATAGTCGTTTATTAAGCTAAAACAGGCGATTCCGTTGGGTTTGCGTTAGTGGTTGCGGTTTGATTTGGTTCGTTTTTGTTCTTTCTTTTTTCGTTTTTGTTTGTGTTTTTTTCTTTGGGTTTGTATTTGTGTTTTTGGTTGGTTTTGCGTTTGGATTTGGTTTGTTTTCGTTTGCTTTTTCGTTGTTTTTTTTTTGTGTTGGTATTGGTGTTTGTGGTTGTTGTTAGGTTTTTGTTTTCGTTTGCTTTTTTGTTTGTTTTTTCTTTGTGTTTGTATTGGTGTTTGTGGTTGTAGTTGGGTTTGCTGTTAGGTTTTTGTTTTCGTTTGTATTTGTAATTGTGTTAGCGTTATGTTTGCGTTTTGTTGTTTTGGTTTTGGTTGGTTGTGGTTTGGGTGGGCAATGCCGGGTTTATGATGATTACTAAACACACAGGTAATGGTCTTTAACAGAAAGGTTTTTCACAGAAGCCTGAGCAGGGCCTGGCCGGGACGGCTAGTTACTACAAAATAAGACCTTATGACTGTTGTGATGGATCCTTTAACATTAAATTACTACAAAATATGACCTTATGACCCTTTGGTTAAGCAGAAAACTTTGTACAAAAAAAAATAAACCTGACAATTTCTTACTTTGGTACATTTTATTATATTACATTTTATTACAATTTATTTTAAATATTAATTTTGACATGAACAAAAATACTGGGGTATTTGTTTTGTTACAAAATCACATTTATGTTTTTAAATGTCTTAAACAGAACAGGACAAAATGAAACATTATTAGCAGCAGAGACTGACATATACAACCTGCATCTTGGACATGTTAGTTCTGACTGATTAGCATAATTGACCTTCTCACTAAGATTAATGATAGGCCTATTCCATCCTCATATAGTTACCCTGAGTTAGTACAATTGTACTATGAACAAATTGTATGCATCATCTTTTTTTAAAAATGGAATTCGATGTCAATAAAACCAAGAAATTAATTAGCATGTGGCAATCAATTGGAATAAATTATGCATATTTGGTTTACACAGCAGAAATAGTTGCTTGTAAAAAAAAATAACCATGTTATAAAACAAAATTTGTCATTTATCAGTCATAATTGGGTGTCAATCATAATAATTTAAATTAATTTATTATTGGGTATCAATTATAATAATTTAAATTAATTAATTACAACTAGTAACTAAATCACACTGTGCTTTTTCAGGAAATGTCACATAAATTGCATTACTAATTGGGCAATACTGCAACACAAAATTTCAGTGGTTAAAGGTATGAAATAATCACTGCAGTTGATTAAGCACTGGTACATATTTATACTTAGCTTATTCTAAACTGCATTTATATGGAGCCTTATGATGAATTTTATTTTGGCTTCAAAAGCATGCAGTATTAAAAGAATTAATATTTAAACTATTTTTTTTTTTAATCAGAAAAAGAACTAAAGACAAAACAAACAAAAAATATTACTAGAAAAGGTTGTCTTTACATTTATTTTAAAAAGCTAGAAAGGGCTAATTAAAAATATACTTGGATTTCTACAAAATAACAATATAAAAACTTCTATTTTAAAAAAAAAAAAACATTCAGTTAAAACAAAAAATATTGATTTTAACTTGCACCTTAATGGCATCAAACTGTCAAAAAAAGTTTTTAAAATAAAAAAAAATCTATTCTTACTTGACAGCTGATGCTAATAATTTAAAAAAAATGTATACCCAGACAAAATGAGTGCAGTAAATCAAAAAAAGTGTAAACAAACCACATTCAAAACACTCTGTAATATGATTACAATAAAAACCAAAGCCAAGTATGATACATGAGAGACAACAAGTCCAAAGGTTATAACTAGCTATAACAAACAAATGGTTACGTACACCTTAACTCACTAGGACATTTCATATACTTCAGTAATCTCACACTTCAGCAAATTATAAATAGATGGACGATTCATTTTGTGCTTCTGATATTTGATATACAACAGCATATCCACACAAAAACATATGAAGATTATTGACATTATTAATACTTTACACATAAAATTATGTCATCTTTTTGCTATATACATTGTTAAAAAGCCTTCTTTGAAAGAAAAATGAATGAAAATTAAGAATATAATGCATCGTGTTTAGTGAATTTTCCATTAATTTAAAAAAGGTATAAGCAACTAGTTTATAAAATACTCTAAGGAAATTATTTACAATAACATGAATAAAAATGGGGAATACATTTCATATCCTAAATGACAAACCAGTTTTGAGAAATTGTCCAAATAAATTGTTGCTATTATGTTGCTAGAATTTACAACATAGTCACTAAGTCATTTGATAACAATACAATTTGTTGTGGTATACATCCATGAAATACAACCCTTTAAAGAATCTTAAACCTAATTAATTTTTACTAAATGAATTTCTCAAGTTGATCTGTTTCAATGATCAGCATACTGATGGTGAGACAACAACAGTCACTTGCCCTTGGTTCTAATTACTTTTTCATCTATACCTCTCTATGAGAAAAAAAAAAACAATGTTACTTCAGTATTCAATCAGGCCAAATCTTACTTCAGTTACTTTTTGTTTGTACCATATAAGTATGGACAAATGATTGGTGCTAAAGATTTTAGAATTGTCAGGCAGAATTGACGCAGGAATTTAAAAGTATTTGTAAATAAGTGTTTACCTTATAGGTTGTTTCCTTTTTATTTCCAGATTGCTATGTAAAAGAAATGGTCATTTACACCCTAGCAATTTTTAGACATAATAAGTAACTTATATTATATGGATTTTATTAAATGAGGCTAAAATTATGCTAATATCATTATCAACAATGCAGTTTAGAAATGATTATTTAAAACGTCATTTTTAGATATATTCAATGTTTATTTGTAAGATAATTTCATATATAAAAAGTATCTGTTTTAAATATTGTAAACTAAAAGATTTGAAAAGAATTAGTTTTGTTGCTTATTTAAAAAATTTTTTATAGGTTAGATATTAGTCTACTGTTATATGTTTATGCAAACACTTTTTAAAGGCCTAATATTATAAATATTATGGTCTATAACACTCTATAACACAAACTTTGATGTAGTACTTGAAGTGTTAGATATACAATATTGTTGTGGAATATACCATCAGTTACTGTGTTAGCTTATAGACAACAAAAGATAAAGCTTCAATTAGCATATACTAGTATACTTGTTTTACTTTTATAAGTTTAAACAAATGACTTAAACTTTCAATATTTTGGATTTAAATCTAAAAAAGAGAAATCATCTAGCTTCATAATCTCTATTTATCAAAATCCTGTACATAATCCTTCCTATTCAAGAAAATATTTTTACCACACAAATAAAATGTTAATAAAAGTTACTTTACTTACAACTTTTTTTGAATGATTTTTTGAATAATACAAATATAAATATTACACCTCGTGTTTAGTATCACCTCAGGATTATCAGTTTGGTTTTGGGTTGGGTTGTATGGTTTATATTGAAGTTTACTGTTATATGGTTTTAAAGTAGTACTGTGGTTAGCTTTGATGTTAACTGTTCTTTATAATTTTTTAAGATCATTGTTACGAATATCAATGATTAATATGCTGTAATATGTTACTTAAATGTTACAGCACTATTTTCATAAAAAAGAATATGATGGTCAGCTTATATAAAATGTACAGTAAGTTGTTATTTTTTACTCCTACTTACCTGATAGAATTTAGTATGGCTGAAAACTCCAGTAGAATATAACAGTGAAGTAAATGTTGATGATAGAATGGTATTAAAAAACTCACCCATATCTGAATGTTTGAAGTATGACAACATGGAGTTCCATATAAGGGTGGCAGAGCTCACATAGGCCACACGGAACTGGCCAGGTACAAATCTGAAGTTGACACTTTGTGCAGCAGGCCAAAACATCCAATCTACCTAATAATTTGAAATATTAGGTTTCATTATTTTTTAATCAGAACTAAAATTTGTTAGTAATTATTCTAAACCAAGTTTAACAAGGTTCAATAGAAAACATTTGATATAGGCCTACATTATATTTTTATATCACTAAGAATTCTGAATTAAGATTAAAAACTAATTAACCTTAGTGCTAAAAATTAAAAAATGAATGTATAATAACTACTTACAAAGTATATATGTAAAAATTTGCTTTTCCACTCTTTATAGGACTCTTCTAACCCCTTTCCTTCTAGAAAACTTAGACCTGGGAAATGAAGTAAAGCAGTTTTTAAACAATATTTTTGTTTTAAAAAATAGGAATAAAGCCAGAAACATATATTATAATAAATTTAACAATAGTGTTATCAAGAACTTCTAGTGAGGCTTTAACCTTAAATTTTATTATAGATGTATAAGCTGACAAAAAATTTCTAGAAAATAAATTAATTCAGAACTTACCAAAAAGAAAAGTTGTACAAAAAAATGGCCCAGCAATGACTTGATCACATAGAATTTTTTGCACAACTGCTTTCCCTGATGTACCTTTGATCACTTTGTCAAGAATGGCATACCAGTAGTGATTAAATGGGCCCAGACAAAACCCTATGAGTATCATTCTACCTGTAAACAAAACAAACTTTCCATAAGACGTGCATGTGCAGAAAACCAAATTGTGGCCTCTCAATCATACAAATCAATAACAGGTTTGAATTATATGGTTTGGCAAAGTTTGGGAAAAGACAGGACAAAGCCCAATGAAGCAATATATTGAGAAAAAAAGGTGGCGATGTATAGGTCTTTTGTTGAGAAAACCGGCTTTAAGTATTACCACCTAACTACAGTAGTAGTTAAAATATTAAGTTAAATTTTTGATTAACCAAAAACATACTAATAATATACTTATATTCTTTAAATAACATAAAAAATTACAAACAAAAAATGCATAACATAACTAATTTTTAAAAATTGTTTTCATTTGCCTAAATTCAAAACAACTAACATACCTGTACGGGGAAAGTCAAATTTGATAGGCTTCTGTTTGTCCGATTGAACAATATTCATACTTTGCACAAGAGCATCTCCTACCCCCATCAAAGCCCCACATGTCACAACATTACTCAACAGCAGGTGCTTGGAAAACACCAGATCCACTTTGGCCAAAAGATATTTTGCAGCATTCATTTTTAATTATTCTTGTTTGAAGAACCTGTCAAATAGATTATAAGAATTATATTATCACACAACGTATTAATTTATGCTAAGAATAACAGTGCTAAAAATATGGACTTAAAACTTAATGCATTTAAATCACCTCAAAGTTAAGTAACTTAAATAATATTGCAACGGAAACAATCTGTTTTTTCCCCCCAGGAATCTTTGTTGCTACAAAGCTTTAACATATACATACAGCCTGAACAAATCTCTTGGTTTTTTTTGGATCTTTTATTTTACCATACACTCATTGATTTTGACTCATTTGAGTACAGTACAAATAGATTCTAAAGACTGCTTTGTTTAAGATTTAATTAGGATGGTTAAAGCAAACTGAAGTGATTGATGTCTAGGTGGTAACGTATCACATCTTTAGTCGAAACAGAATAAGGTAAAAAAAATAATTATTTTTAAAATAGATATCTAAGTATTAGTAACACTAGTAACATCTATGCCCAAGTCACATTTTTTATAACTATATATTATATAATGTATTTATAGGACGGCTTGGTCAAATGGTAGAGCATTTGGCTTCTAGCCCCAAGGGTTTCAAGATTGGATCTTGGTTTGGACTTGTGACATAAGCCTTAAGATGTCTGACTGATGGGCACTTGACATACATTGGAGAAAGGTAAAGGTGGCTCACTGGCTGGGCAGACCACATTGTACCTTCATATGCCGAGGTAAAAAAACATGAACTTAAGTTTACCTGCACAATGGATAGCTAAATCTAAAGACTTAGTTATATAGCATGTTTTGTCAATCATAGATAACTAATTGTCTAAACACCAACAATTAAGCCTTGTATTAAAGTAGACTTTTAATTAGGGCAGAAATTATATAAATATTATTCATGCTAGTAATAGCTAGATCTAGACTGAAATATTAACAAAGTTTGTTACAGTTAGAGCTGAATATATTAGCCTATATATTACCTTTATTATTTAACTTGTGTCGATTGATGGTGTCGATGCAGTGATGAAGAACCTCATTCAACAGATAGATATATACACGACTAAATAAATATTTATTAAGGCCCTAAGCACCAATTAATACCCAATAGAATGCTGCTAAATTTAGAATTTTAGATTTACCAAGCCAAGACAAGACTGTCCAAGTCCAAGACTTCCAGTTTAAGGACTAGGACCAATAGTTAAAATTTTGGATTTTTATCTAAAAACTTAACATAGAAAAACCCTGTTCTGATGTATTGTATACCTTGCAAAATTATTTAGGCCCTACTCTTATTAAAACTTTTTTTCGACTAGTCACACTTGTGATTGTGAGCGGCAAGCGGGCCTAAAAAAAACTAATTTTTAAATTTTGATTTAATTTTTAACAATTAGGCCCCTTTTATTTAAATCTACTTTCATACAGTCAAGGAAATAAGTTACTAGATTCTATATTAACACATAAAAATACTGTACGCGTAACAACATCTAGATCTAGATCTAGTGTGGTATACATAAAGATATATCAAACGTAACGAATTGTATGTTATTGTTATTTTTGTGAACTTCCAAGGGCGCAGCCATTTTGATTCCTATGCAAACAGTACATAGATACCGAAACCTTCAAGAAAACGCAGAAAAACATGCGTTTCTTGTCTCGTTTAGCTGTCTTCAGCTTCTGAAGACGATATTTATATTCATTATTTACGTTTTGAATTTATGTAACGATACTTTACTGCATCACAAAAATATTGATGTAATACCATATACAATTTTGTAAAATATAAATTCATAATGCATACATTATTTAGGCCTATCCTATAACTAATAGGCCTACAGCTTTATAATTTAGAAAGTAAGCGATTTACAGATCCATAAAACAAAAACTTTATTCCCGCTAGGAAAAAAATTATTTCCGATTTTGTTTTAGGTTATTTAAATACACCTTTCGGAGAATTCGATATTGTAGACCATATTTGCTTAAACAAAGATTTGAGCTTACTTATCTAGTGTAACATGCTTGCAGATGAAATTTTCGAAGGGGGGGGGGCTTGGCGGACACTGTTAGAAGTATATCTTTTCTATATAAATTCTATTTCGTTCGGGGGGGGGGTGGTAAATTCTCTTCAAGGGGGGAGTCCCTCCGTCGTCATCCTCACTCCGCCCCCCCCCCCCCCCGTCGCCCCCCCCCCCCCCCCCCCGTCGTCGTTGTCGCCACGACCCGTCGTCCCCCCCCCCCCCCCCCCCCCCGCCCCGTATCCCCGTACCCCCGTCTGGAAGAAACACTGGTCTTCATTGTTTTCAGAAACGAAATCTTATGAAACCTTCAACGACGATGGGTTATAATTTTTATATTATTAAAAAGAGCGAACAGTTATGAGGGTGTAGAAAGGTATTTTTAGAGTAATGTCCCTTTATTAGCTCAGTTAACAGTTCTGTTGTTTGGAGCAACAGCTTTATATTTTCTGCTATTCATGCATTCCTATGATGTTTAAACATTGTTACACTTAACTTTGTTCAGTTGCTGTTGGAACTATTCTGTTTATTGGTATATTTATTTTTAATAATTCAAATCATTGATTAATAGTTTCATATACAAACTTTTAGATCTAGATCTATATTCAATATTCCTTCCACATCATTCTAGAATCTAGAAAAACTATTCTCTTGTCAAGTTTAGACTTTGTCTTTAGACTACTTTAGAGTTAGAGAGAGAATAGTGAAGACTGAAGACTACACTGACACACTGTCTCTAAAAATTTGAGTGTGGAAAATTAAAAAAAAAATTATTTCTTATAAATGTTTAAAGTTTAAATAGATATTAGATCAAGAATCTAGAGCTAGGCTAGTCCTGACCTAAAATCTAGATCATAATCTATATTCTATAGGCCTATTCTATAACTGATAACTTTTAACATTCAGAGTCGATCTGGGGCCTACCATCTGCATTTTGGGCCTGAGTTAGATATTAATATCTGGATGTTTTGATTTGATAGCACTGATTTCTGAATTAAATCTTGAGTGCTGTCAGCTTGATAGATCATTCAGTTCGTCATATGATACAAAGACTGTATTTTGAACTATGAAGTAAATGTCAGGACCCACAGGGTGATTGGTCATCTTGATGATAGGCTGACAACCATTAAAAATGGAAATAGAAATAGTACTAATATATCTTAAGGTCTTCAGGTGAAGCAAAAATTTTTTTTGAAAGACAGTGCAAATCAAAAGAAACAAAGGCTGGTACAGCTAGTAGAAAAATTAAGAAGATAACATCATGGAAGAGTTGGCTTTGACACTGGTAACAACAGAAGACAGAGTGAAATGGAGGAATGCAATTAGAACATTAGTGGCTCCCCCAACAATTGACCAAGACTGAGTGGCAGAAGAAGAACAGTAGCGTTTTTTTTCTTTTCATCTTAAAGCGAATTATTTTGATGACAATGATTTGATTTAATAAACTGCTTATGCTAGTAACAGCGTCATAAATTTATACTTGTCTGGTATCAAATGTACAGTAAGTTTTTCACTTAGTTGTAGAAAAGGCTGTAAAGAACACCTCCTCTTGTTCGTCAGTCACTGTAAGCTCTGTTTTGCTTATGTCAGTCGCCACCCTAAAACTGATTACATTACAGTTTTACCCCCTGTTCTGCCTCTACTATCTGCAAATGATCACAATAAGCCCTATTCACTTACTAACTTCTATAGAGCAGCATAGAGCAGGTCTATCCTCAGTTATCTTGATCTTCTCTTTCAACTCTATTGGCTCTAGAGTCTACTCTACACTAGGTACAGAATTAGCTCATGACTACATTATAGATTTGACTCTTAAAATTATATTTATAAGTTAAAAGTAATTGATTATTATAAATTAATCAATTAAAATTATTAAATTAATCATTATTAATTGGGGGGGGGGGGGGATAGACATTTTTTATAAACAAATATCTCATCTACTTCTGTTACAATCATGTTCCATTTTGGCTGTTTTTTTTTACTGGAACCTTGTAATCTTACCTAAATTTTCATTTTTACTGACACAACTTCTTCAAAAGCATGTATTTAGTTAATAAACAAAAAGTCACATTTGCCTGGCATAGAAAGGACAATCATGTTTTTTTTAAAGGTGATGGAGTTAAATAATTATGAACAGTTACATTTTCATTCAATATGCTTCATTCTAGTGAGTACCATCCCCCTTCCCATCCCCCACACCTTATTTTGTATACAAACCCCAAACTAAGTACCATTCCCCTGCCATTTTATGTGTAAGATATGTAACTGTGACTAGATGAGAGGCTATACATTAATTTATGTTGCACAATGTGACTATTTAATATTGCTTAGAAAAAAAGCCTCTTAGCAACTCTAAAATTTAGTATAGTCATAAAATGCATGAATAAATGAAGGTCTGCTACTAAAAAAGTCAATAGGGGTTGGGAAGGGGGATTAGGAAAATATGACTTACCACAAATAAGAACTTATTTTTTAATTAACCTTTGTTTTGCAGATAATAATGAAATCATTCTGAAAATATAAATAAGATTTTATTTAAAGACTCCATAAGCCTAACTGTATAATAGGCCTACTTTATGATTCCCTCAATCAATAGTTAATAAATAAACCAAGTTTGGTTAATAAGTAAGATAAATGAGTTACTATACCAATTCCATTAAATATGGATGAGAGTGAATAGAGGCTGTGAGGCTTTTTATTTTAATTTAAAATCCAAATTATCTTTTTTTAAATACAATTGATAGTAGGAGCCAGCTTTATTGTAGTATACTTACAGAAATAGGTAAAGATTTGTTAATAATTATTTGAAATTTTAAAGTTTAGCTACTTTTGTTGTTATTTTTCAGGAAATCTAGGTTAAATTATGTCTCACCACTCTTTAAATTTTTTTTTCTAATTGTCCATTAAAGTTTTCTCATCTTGCTTTTGCAGAACTGTAAATAAACTAGTTTTAAAGTAGGCCTAGTATTCTTCCAGAACTAAATGAGGCTATCTAATCTAATATGCTTATTTCTTTTTATTTTTTTTTATTTTTAGAATAAAAGGAAGTTATGTTAAGAATGTAAAAACTTTTTAACGAGTTTTTAGTAATTTTGTAACTTGTGGTTTCAAAGTTGAGGACCAATGAGAAATGATTTTTCAGTTATATTTTGTATAGTTCAAAGGTTGTTTTTTTTTTTAAATTAAATTACATAGTTTTAAGCTAAAATTTCACAAAACTAAATTGTTAAAGCTACTATATTATGGTTTTTAAAAATGCAAACTAAATTGCTAGTTTCTTTCAGTAAAGTTTGAATTTTCTTATAGTGGGTGGGTCTGGCTGAAATAGCTGAAGGTTAAAAAAACAAGTGATTACAACACACTCAGCACTTTTGTTTTATCAACTGCACTCTTAACTGGACTAACTCTCCTGAACTTCTATAGTCTAGTAACATTTCAATCATCATTTAGTAAGCCTACACAATGTTTGTTCACTTTTGCTTGATGCAAATACACACACACACACACACGCGCACGCACGCACACACACACACACACACACACACTTGTATTTTAATTTTGTGATATTTTTTGTTTCACAGAATTCCCTGTTCAACACATAATCTGTGGAATATATTTTAACTTATTACCTGACTAGAAAGATAACTTGCAGGTAAGATTCTTTTAAAAACTTAAATTCACAGCTGAGATATGATGTGTTTCTGTTTTAAGTATCTCCTTGACACTCATTTTGGATGAATGTGGTGAATCTTCTATTTATCTACCTGTTACCAATAACTCTCTGAGGTTATTTCTATACATTTTAGTTATGACCCTCCACTCTATTGTGTGGTAAATTTTGTTTTAATTTTAACACTTCTTGTATGTTGCATATTCTTTTATTGTTCTGACCTTGCATTATGTGTTGCACATCTATTTTTATTTACCTCATTTATGATTACTTCCAATTAACCTGATTGCATGATATGTTAATTTACTCATAAAATGCATAGCCTAGTGATAATCTGACATAACAATACTAAATATGAGAATCCCACAAGCTTGCAGATATAAATATTTAAAACACAAGAGAGATAACTCTCATAGACTCCTAAAACAACTAGAACATTTCCCACATTTGGCTTGTTATGATGGTGATTTGTGATGAATAAATCCACCCAGTTTTGTTAGGTAATGAATTCATTGTCTGTTACCATTGTCATTTTTTTTATATTTTTATTGAAACTTTAGCATTTAAAATAAATGTCGAGTAATCTTTTGTACAGTCCTGAAGAACAGAATGAGATAAACCAGAGTTCATTTGTTTAGGGATGCAGGTATAAATGGATTACATAGTCAGCACCCTGCCTAAATATCATTATAACAACTACTCCTTTATTTGGATTTACCACTACAAGCTTTAAGATATAACTCTCAACATGTGATATCATATCCCACACTATAAAAAAAGTCTACTAATTTAGTACTATCAAGCAACAAGTTGGCCTATAGAAATTTAAAATAGGGAATTAAAATATCATCTTATGTTGAAAAAGCTCTCAATAAAATCTTTGCCAGGAACATACACAGTTGTCTATCTTAGATCCAGCATTCCCACGTATCTATTATCCAAAATCCCCACATATCCATCATCTAGGATTAACGGGTATCCACTATCGAACATTGCTTTGTATCCAATATCCAGCATCCCCACGTATTTATTATCTATCTTTCCCACGCATCCATCATCTAACATTGCCGCCTATCCAATATCGGATATTGCCATGTATCCAATATCCAGTATTCCCAAGTATCCAGTATCCACCATCTATTGCAGCAATGAAATCTACATTTAGTCCGCCAATCGCAGCCAATCATCCCATTATAAAAAGTTAATTGTCCCAATCAGCACGCCGACAATTAATCAGATATCATCTAGTCCGGGCCATTAAGGCTTTATCGATCACGTGCCGCATGCAATTAGCTTAGACCACCCGGAATATGTGTCCCCATCCGCGAAATGTCAGATACCCGTTTAAACCTGCGACCATACACAACTGACAGGCGAAATGTCAGATACCCGTTTAAACCTGCGACCATACACAACTGACAGGCGAAATGTCAGATACCCGTTTAAACCTGCGACCATACACAACTGACAGGTGGATGAGTTGGTCGACACATCCGCCATTTGAAATGGACGCATCCATTGTATGCTGAAACGCTGAATGTAAACATTCGGTTGTTCATGTTTCCATAGCGTTTAGTTTATTTCTATAGACACCCCACGTTATCATTGCTTGAATCGGGTTGCTCATATGCGATGTCTAAATCTCAATTATCTAAGACTTAATTTTTAATTTGCAAATCTATAGCGTTTTAATTTTCCTAGAAATAATTATCCAATAATTTTTTCGATATTAAATCATTTCAAAATGACAGGATTCAAATTACTAATGATTTAATCTATGTCGTTTAAATTTACTTAACACATAATTACCGATTGACAGAACAAGAATGTATTTAATTAGTCAAAATTAATTAATTTCCCTGTCTGAAAATCCCTTGGTTTTTTTGTATACTTAGTGGATGACATGTTCTACAATAGAGAGGGGTGGGAGTGGGGTAGATCAACACTCCCATACTTTAAAATAAACCTGTCAGAAATCTTTTTGCTAACCGTGCAAGTTAGACCACGATAATATCGCGCACAAAGCTAGCTTCCTCTCTTCCTGACGTAATTACGCCGCGTTAATTGATAGCAGCAACAGGTAACTTCACACTTTTGTGAGCTCCTTCACATCTGAAATGGATTTGCCGACTCATACGTTTCTAAAAGAAATTTGGAACAAAGATAAGCTTGCAAAAGATACATTTTTTTTCTAGTTAGGTCTGTTAGGAAACTGCTGACTCTATGGTGTAGGCCTATGTGTTGGTGATCAGTTCTGTTAGGATAGTTTAGCTATGTGGAAACTGTTGACACCAGTGGCGTAGCGAGGTCGGGTGTCACCCGGTGCGGCACTTAATGGTGTCACCCCCCCCCCCCCCCAGAGGCGTAGCGACTCTTCCCGGGGACAAACTTTCAATTTTCGATTTGCACACCCCCCCCCTCCTCACATTTTTCTCTATATATTTTACTATTTTTTGCCTTGGTGTCACCCCCCTAAATGGTGTCACCCGGTGCGGTCCGCACCCCCGCCCGCCCCCCCCCCCCTCGCTACGCCTCTGGTTGACACTATGGTATATGTGATGAGGTCTGTTAGGATAGTTTAGCTGTATGGAAACGTATGTGATGGTGATCCCTGAGCAGTGAAAATACCGAATGGGACCCGTCGAGCTCTGACACTGCCCATGTGTTAAACAGAGCACGATTTCTGTAGGAGAAACATATCTTCGGGGTACGTCACGTGTATTTTGAGGAATTTGTCTCCCCTTCCCCCCTAAAAAAAAGCTTGTGGTTACTTGTGTCTTGATTCCCGGATTCAGGATGTGATATGCAGCGTACCCCCCCCCCTTCCCCCTAGCACAAGTGGTCAAAAACTTGACCAGGAATCAGAATTTACTGTCGGGTTTTTATGAAAAACTTTTCACGGATGTTACATTTCTGCGTAATGTACGTAGTGTCACGCCCGCTTAAAGTACGTTTGTCAAAGTGTTTTACACGAGTGCTCTTGACATGATAACAGTAATAATTATATTAATCCTCGACATTGTAAATATTGCGAACCATCTTATGAAATCCTTCAACATAATTTTAAAACCCGAACAAATGGTCACCGCCCAACATTATTTCAAAAAGGATATTTATCTTTTATGTCTTTTAACTAGTTAAGTAATCGTGTACACAATAAGTCACTTCAGTTACGTGCTTGTCGAGTAACCTCGCACACAATAGTTCCTCCAGTAACGCGCTTATTGTGTGTGTTTGTGTGACGCGTTATATTATTACAATCTATTTAGCCCACAGTTTGTCTTAAAAAATCATGTTATATAACCAGTCATGTACCGTGACGCAATGTTTACCAATATCTCGCCATTGCCCGCATTGAGCCAAAAATAACCCTTATACGTCATCCTGTTTCATGGTATGCTTGGTCACGTGACTGTTGGTCTAGAAATAAACTGATCAGTGGTGATGAGATATCTACCCCTGCTCTATGCGTTCCAACCGTCCGTTTTTAGACTGACCGTATTCCTCGATTAATTCAATGGGGTGGATGGGGGTTACAAGTCTGGCCAGCGGACGCTAATTTGATCTGAGGGGAAATATGATAACCTCCACACTACCATAAAATAAGACCACCCTACACTAATATAAAATATGACCACCCCAAACTGGCAAGAATGTTAAATTTTATAACAAGTATATCGACTCCGACACCAATTGTATAACTTGAATACTGACTCACATAATAACTTTAATACTGACTACCATAACAACTTGAATACTGACTACCATAATAACTTGAATACTGACTCTCACAACAACTTGAATACTGATTACCATAATAACTTGAATACTGACTCTCACAACAACTTGAATACTGATTACCATAATAACTTGAATACTGACTCACATAACAACTTGAATACTGACTACCATAATAACTTGAATACTGACTCTCACAACAACTTGAATACTGATTACCATAATAACTTGAATACTGACTCTCACAACAACTTGAATACTGATTACCATAATAACTTGAATACTGACTCTCACAACAACTTGAATACGGATTACCATAATAACTTGAATACTGACTCACATAACAACTTGAATACTGACTACCATAATAAATTGAATACTGGCTCTCATAACAACTTGAATACTGACTCCCGCAGAACTTGAACACTGACCTCCATAATAATTGAATACTGACTCCCATCATCATGTGCATATTGACCTCCATAACATATTGAACTCCTATAACAACTTGAATACTGACTCCCACAAAAACTTCAATCTGACTCCCATCATCACTTGCATATTCCCACCACCACCTTGCATAACTTGGACACTGACTCCCATTACCCATTGATTTCTATCCTTAGATTGATCTCCCATCCCTATCTTCAGCTGTCCCCACAAGTAGCCACGGCCGGGCGTGCTAGTCGATGACATTATTATCTTTCACGCCCTATGATCGATGTGTCTCCCCGTCTGTTTCTGCCGCTCCGGAGGACACGAACCCAAAGGGCGCGCCCTCATTAACCCCGCGGCTTAACGTGATTGCGTATCCCGTGACCCATTCGTTTCCTTCATCTTCGCCCTTTATGGTGCCCGTTTCCTTCATCTTCGCCCTTTATGGTGCCCGTTTCCTTCCACGCTGGAGAAATCTTTCTGACGGACATTGATCACGTTACCGTTTTCTTCCTTTTTTTGTGTCGTATGTGAAGTATAGGATTATGCAGATGCGGGTCTTCTATTTCAGACTCTCGTATCATTAGTAAAAGAAGAACTGTTTAACGATATTTTGGTGCTGGATAGCTGATCTCACAGCCATGAGCTTATCTTACAGCCATAGACCTGATCTCACAGTCATAGAGCTGATCTCACAGTCATAGACCTGATCTCACAGCCATAGACCTGATCTCACAGCCATAGACCTGATCTCACAGCCATAGAGCTTATCTTACAGCCATAGACCTGATCTCACAGCCATAGACCTG